GAGCATGGTCAGCGCGGCCGGAGCTGTCCGTGCGGGAGCGGGACAGACCCTGCGGCGGTGTGAACTGACCCCCGAGGGCTCAAACCGGAGCACGCGCCAATGCAGGGGAGTCGCGGACGGAAACCCCAGCAGGCAGCGATCAGCTCCCAGCGCCCAGCACCTGGGAGCAGGGTCGGCTCTGGAAGTGAGCCTGGCGTCACTGTGTGGCAGCACCAGAGGTTGCTCTGTGTGGCAGCACCAGGAGGAGCCGCCCGCGATGAGACGCCAGTAACGCTCACGGTTCTGCTGTGTGCTGTTTGCATCCCGTGCAGGAGGATTAGGCCTCCGAGCGTGTTGCTCTGGAGGAGGCATTGTGCGCGGCAGCTTAGTGTGAGGACAGATGAGGCTTACTGTCTTGGCATGTGTCTGCCAAGGAGCAGCTTTGTCGTCCGAAACACGGGCGTGAGGGGAGTGAGGCTCTATGATTAATGGGCTGTACCCTGGCAGATGTGGTTGTCCCGTCCATTTCTCCCCACTTCTTGAATATGTGAATTGCAATTGTGTCTTGGGCAAAGAACGTTGGGTTTGATCCTTGTGTCACAGATAAAGTGTTCTGCCACATCCTGGGATAGCTTAGCACCGCTGGGGGCTAAGGAGATGGATTTTTAAAGCTGCTTTATTCATCGGTGTGTATGAATGTGTGTGTTTTTCTGAGTGAGACACAAGCAGGGGCTGTTTGCGGGTGAATGGACTGGCTGGGAGTTCTGCGCTTACCTGGGGGAAGCTAGAAATACGACAGAAATCAGCACTTCTGTGGTTTTTTTATAGGAGGGAGGGGTTGGTTTGTTGTTATCCTGGAAACATCCACCTGGCTAGCCAGAATCTTTTATTGATGATGCACACTGTATGTCATCTGTTAAGTAATAGTGATGCTGACAGTAAAGGGCTTTCCTCTTTGATTGGTGGTTTGTGAGCTAGCCCCTGTTACTACTCCTCTGGGAAAGTTTGTGGCCTGAGTTTGAGAGGAAATTGTGAGAGAGGCTCAACGAGTAACAAAAAACAGGTTTGCAGTAATCTCAAAATATGCTTAGACATTTTGGGTTTCTTTTTTAAGTGGACGAGAGTGGTGAGAAAGGGGAGTGGAAAACACTGCTCCCTCTGAAATAATGAGAATTTTTGCCATCGTCCTAGTCTGTTTCAACTTCAGTACAGGCCTCAGCTGTACAGGAAAAGTTGCATCTATGTAACTAAACTTGACATTTCTCTTTTTCCTCTATTGACTGTGTTTCTTGTCTTGTTGGAGTAAGAGGAGTATTTATTTATTGTTAAGAAGGGGAAGTTTCTAGTGTGTGAGAAGAATTGGGTTGTTTGTGGTGTGGCTGAGGTTAAGACCCTGTCTGAAGGCTGTTGGCCGAATGCTGACCGGCCGGGATGGCGCGGCCTGCGTAGCGCGGCAGCCTTTGTGTTGGGCTTCACCTTCCAGCAAAGTCTCCACAAAACTGAGTAGCCACAAGGAACAAATGTACCAATATTGTCAATATATTTTTTAAATCCAAGTGTTTTATACTAGTTTTGCCCCTGTAGTGAGGGGAAAACTGTTACTGTATTGTTTTAGGGTTTGTTAATTTAAAGCAGTATACTCTCCCCATAATGAGAAAACAGAGACTTTTAACTCAAGCTGTAAATGTTGACATAATGGTTTTTATTCTAAAAGAGGTGTTCACTTCAGAAGTTTCATTGACCTTTTAGTTAAACTGACATAACTGTTAAAACATTTTCCTACTACAAAAAGGGGTGTCCTGACTGAATGGCAGGGGAAAAAAGCCTTTCTTCTGTTTGGAAAGAGCAGCTTCTGCTTAAAGGTTCCTCTTCAGAGTTGTTAAAAGACTTTCAGTGATGGAGCTTCTTCCTTTCTGCCTTTCACACTCTCTTTTTGCTCTATTATTTCTCTCACTTTGGACTGTATGCAGTCCTGGTTGGTTTTATTAACTTCTTAAGCTTTTAACTGTTTCCAGTCTAGTCTGGACAGGAAGGAACCTTCAATTAGGAGTGCAGTGATGTGCAGGTGTGAGAAACTTTGTGGAGCATGTATGGGAAGGGTGAAGGAGGGAATTCTGGCTCTTGGACAAGTTCAAATACCTCACCCTTATTTTCTCCTGTACAACTTCTTTCTAGGTGCCTTTCGGTACTCTATGTAGCAAGTGCAGGAGCTGCACAGCCTAGCTTGGTTACTTTGAGGAACGTTCACTTACCTTTTTTTCCCCTTCCTCTATTTCTGCATCTCTCTCCATTTTGTATATATTTTTTTGGTAATTTTACTTTGAAATAGACCAAAGTTTGGAAATATGTCCTGACCAAGTATCCCGTGTGTATGACATGCTGTCAGTCATTCTGGTAACTGAAATTGCCTGGCTCAGGCAGGCCCTGTGCCTCAGAGGAGAAGACTTGTGACTATGTCCCACAGCCTCACCATACCCTGGCTGCGATGTCCCTGGGGGGCTGTGCAGCGTCCCAAGGAAGCAGTAGCTGATGGTGATGTGCAAAGAACATGTGGGCATGTGTGTACTCTCTGGGTACCTTT